TCTCTCTCTCTCTCTCTCTCTCTCTCTCTCTCTCTCTCTCTCTCTCTCTCTCTCTCTCTCTCTCTCTCTCTCTCTTGTGCTTAATCTTGTAAGAGAGATGATTCGTGGGTCAAAAAAAATTGTCTTTTAGTTTTGGGAGGAAACATCTTGTGATTCATTTTCTAACCAAAGAAGCAAGGATTTTCTCATTCAATTCAACCACAAGGATGATAAGTTAAATGTCTTGCCAATTATTTTTAGATATGAATTAATGGTCCAATACAAAGTAACTTGGCACCAACCAAACTTGTAAATTCAGAGTCCATTACATTATTCCAGACACCAAAAAGAAAAATAATAGGGTTTATATCACTCGGATGACATACGATTTCTTGAATTCATTGAACACAATTATCCGTCTTTGATTTGTTCACGGTGAGAATGAACCCTAGAAACGAAAGTTAAGTTGACTTGGCCAAGAATGATAGGCTCAACTGGTAAGTGGATATGTGCAAAAAATGCTCCATCCATGTTCGAACCTCATCCTTGACAAATTACATATTATCAAAAAAAAAAAGTTAAGTTGACTTGTTGTACAAGAAAACTCGGGAGAGTTTCGAATTTTTTCCAAAAGTCAAAAGTCAAAACCTTCTCAGCGAGTCAGAGGTTTTCTTAGATGGTCTCTTCTGCTTACACGCCAAAGTCAGACAAGGTGGGACCAAATGTCAAGAAACAAAAGTTCAGACACAGAAGTCTTGTTGAAGAAACAAGAGCCTAAAGATGGGAAGAATCTATAGTCAGTTAGATCCGTTCAAACACTTGTAATAAGAAAAACCCAAAAATAGCGTTGACACCATTCCTTATATAAACGCCATTCCGATCCCTTTGCTTAAACCAATACACTCACTTGAACCAAAACCACACAAAAAAAAAATACAAATTACCAAAATCCTTAAAAAAAATAAAAAAAGATCAAGGATCAGAGCAAGAAGGGCTCTTAGCCAAAGTTGCAGCTCCTCAGGTTTTTACCTGGAAAAACACACAAAAAGGGTGAAAATACGAACAAACGCAGACAAAAAGACGAATACGTACCTCATATTCGAATAAACCCGCACAAGAAATGGGTTTGGGCGACGATAAGAAGAAGAAATGCATGATAGCGGGTGGAATCTCGGCCCTGCTCGTTGTCATGGTGGTCTCGGTGGCAGTGGCCACGTCCAAGAACACCAGCGGTCCCATCAAACACGGTGACTCGCAGATCAAAACAACAACCAAGGCGGTCCAAGCCGTTTGTGAACCGACTGACTACAAAGAGACCTGTGTCCACAGCTTAATGGCTGCATCCCCCAACTCCACCCAACCGCTGGACCTCATCAGGCTTGGCTTTAACCTGACCATCAATTCTATCCACCAAGGCATCAAGAAAGCCGCCCACGAGCTCAAAGCGAGAGCTGAGAAAGACCCAGAGACGAAAGGGGCTCTCGACCTTTGCCAGGAGCTGATGATTGATGCCATCGATGACCTTAAAAAGTGCTTCGACAAATTCGATGGGTTCAACCTCAATGAGGCAGAGGAGTTTGTTGAGGATCTCAGGGTCTGGCTTAGTGGCTCCATCGCATTCCAGCAAACCTGCATGGACACCTTCGAAGAAATCAAGTCGGATCTCGCACAGGAAATGGCCAAGATCTTTAAAACATCCAAAGAGCTCACAAGCAATGGCCTCGCCATGGTTTCTGGCCTCTCTATGCTTCTCCCACAGTTCAACATCACAGGTAGTTCATCTGTCCCAATGCCCGAAAGACATTCATAGCATCCTTTCCAACCCAATCTGAGTTAATCGTAACGTGAGTTTGGACATGACAGGAGTCAGAGGTGACCTCGGAAGCTATGCAAGAAAACTCCTTTCGACAGAGGACGGTTTCCCGACATGGATGAGACCGGAAGCGAGGAAGCTCATGGCGGCTAAAGGGACAAAGGTGAAGCCCAACGCGGTGGTTGCCTTGGACGGAAGCGGCCAGTTCAAGAGCATAAACGCTGCCTTAAAGACAGTGCCTATGAAAAACAAGTTTCCCTTTGTCATCTACATCAAACAAGGTATCTACAAAGAGAAAGTCGATGTGACCAAGACCATGAGCTATGTCACCTTCATCGGCGACGGACCCACCAAGACCCGTATCACCGGAAACCTCAACTTCGGCATGGGAAAGGTCAAGACCTACCAAACCGCCACCGTCGGTAAGATCCCCTAAAACCCAAAATTAGGGTTTCACAAATCGCCTTCCGAAATTAGGGTTCGTAACATACATACCTGATTGAGGCATTGAATCATATGCGGCAGCTGTCAATGGCGAGCACTTCACGGCGAAGGACATCGGGTTCGAGAACACGGCCGGACCGAAGGGTCACCAGGCGGTGGCGCTGAGAGTCTCCGCCGATTACGCCGTCTTCCACAACTGCCAGATCGATGGTTACGTCGACAGTTTCTACGCCAACTGCCAGATCGATGGTTACCAAGACACGCTCTACGCACACTCCCACCGACAATTCTACCGCGACTGCACCATCTCCGGCACAATCGATTACATCTTCGGGGACGCGAAATCGTTCTTCCAGAACTGCAACATGGTCGTCCGGAAACCGATGGGAGGCCAATCGTGCATGGTCACGGCTCAGGGACGAACCGACAAGCGCGAGACGACAGGGATCGTGCTCCATAACTGCAGAATCACGGGAGACCCAGCGTACATCCCAGTGAAGAAGACGAACAAAGCTTACCTGGGTCGTCCATGGAAGCAGTTCTCGAGAACGATCATCATGAGGACAACGATCGAAGACATCATCGACCCAAAAGGCTGGCTCGAATGGAACGGAAACTTCGCGCTCGACACATTGGAGTACGCAGAGTTCGAGAACAAAGGACCCGGATCGAATCAAGCTACACGGGTCAAATGGCCAGGGATCAAGAAATTCACTCCCAGACAGGCCGGAGAGTTCACCGCCGGGAAATTCTTACAAGGCGGTACGTGGATTCCACAGACACAGGTCCCTTACCTCGGCAACATGTAGAAGCATGAGAAGAGTTCCTGACGGAAATTTTCCATTTTATTTTCTCCCTTAATTTTTGGGTTTTAAATTCAGTTGTTTTAAAAAAAAATCGAAGAAAAAGAAATTAATGTTTTGAATGTCACGAGGGTAATGACAAAATTTTCATCCTTTATATTGTTTATTTATTTATCGTGGTTACCATATTTGAAATTTTGAAGAATGCAACATGTATACAACATATATATATGTATATGTGTATGGATATCATATACATGTATGGACAAGTATAAGTATATATGCACTTGTTAAATATCTTACTAAAACATTACGGACCATATTAAAAGCCCATGAGCCTAATATAAGATATCGTTGTGGGCCCATGGATTGATTCGATGGGCTTTCAATTTAATATGTGAGAAACATAATATATTTGTCAAATTAGAAACCGAAACATAAAAATCGAGTTTTACCGGTTCATTAAAAAAAACATCGGCTTTGTACCGGTCTAAGTGGGTTTCATTAGAAACTAAATTAGGTGGCATGACCGGTTGAACCGGTTCACGCGGTCCGCCGGCTGGTTCGGATTGGCGTGACTTTTGATGATTATGTTTTAATGCTCAAACTCACTTCAAATTCATCACAATCTCGAATATATTTATGAACCCTAACCATCCCGAAATTATAATTGTAATTTTACGTTTTGTTATTAATATATATATGCCACAAGGGGCGGTCCAAGAGGCTAATGTTGGGCTGCTAAAGGCCCACAGGCCACAACTACTAAAAACCACCAAGATTTTGCGTAATCTGAAATTTTTATATAATTTGTAGTACGATCCATAAAAAGTACATTTTATTGATATAATTAGCAACTTAGATTTTTAATAATTTCGATAAAAAAAACTATGCGGGTAATCTGAAATTTAACACAATTTCTAACACAGAAAAAGCCTATATATAAATATAAATGTAAGTTAACAAAAAAATATATAATTAGTAATATGTGTTCATTTAATATAGAGATGCATGCGCTTTTAAGGATTCACGTGCTCTCATGCACATGTCTCGTCCTTCGAGATTCAGTCGGGCCAATTGAAAAAATACCCTTAAATGTCGATTTCACTTACAACACATACCTCGCTAAAAAAAAGTGTTTTTGTTATTCATAAAGCATCCGCGAAAATGATAAATTCTATCTTATGCCAATGTGTTACATAAAGTGTACTAGAACATTATGGTTTCGTTTGGGAGATCATGCATTGTTAAACAAAATAAGGTGTTAAATCTAGATAGTTCTGATTATCATATTAACATGTTCATGGTTCAAAATTGATAAATTCGCCAAATCCGAGAGTTTGACAGGTTTGACGGATTTATAGAATAAACATGATTAGATTTAGTACATATGATTTACAATATCATTAATGTAACATGATTAAAAAAAGATGTTCTGGTAAAGTTTTAGATCTGATTAGATACAACTTAATAAGAAAGAGTTCTTAAGAAATAAGATACTACTAAATAAAAAAAAGGTTAACGAAAAAGAATTTCAGTGTGACCACTAATTTATATACAGTGCCTCTGCATATTTGATGTTGTATATGCCGCATTTATTTTGCATTCATTTTCTGCAAAAATAAATTTAGCACTCATTATCAGACTCGTCAAACTCGTAGTAGTGCGACTTGTTTGACGAGTTTGAACACTTTTGCTTCGTTTCTAATTTGACTTGTTTGACGGGTTTGACTAATATCTAGCATGACCACTAATCTATGTTTTAGTACATCCGACTGTCGACAATATCACCTGCCTCGATTCCTATACGTATTTTGTGAAAATATTGTTTCTCACCAATCCGAAAACCCTATTTCGATATTTCGGTGACAATTTGTCACTGAAATCCTCATTTTTCTAATGTTTATTTCAAACCTTAATCTTTAACGAAAACTTAACAGAAAACCCAAAACCGAATCTCAAAACTGAATCTCAATCTGTACCCGAAACCCTAAAAAATCAGATTTTCGATGAGTTCAAAAACTATCCCAAAAGGTCTTCGCAAATACAAGCCGAAGAGGGGGTCGAAGATGATGAAGACGAAGTCCATTCTTGTTCACTTTACTTGCAAACACGAAATCGCAGAAAAAAAATGCACAGAAAAATCGTATAGAAAAATCGCTAAGTTGAAGAGAAAATGAAAAAGAAACGATATTATAAAGAAATGAAACTGTCTATCGAAAATGGCTGAAAATAAACTGTTTGGTTTTTCAAAAATTTTTATTTTAGTAACTTTCAACTTTTGGTATTTCTTGTTCAGATGTTGACACGTGTATTTTTTAAAAGAGGTAACGATGTCTTTTCATTCTTTTTCAATTTTTTTTTAAAATTTCTAGATTTTGAAGGGTATGTGTTGTAAGTCAAATCCACATTTAAAGGTATTTGTGTAATATTCCCGATTCAGTCCCACGCATTTTTGTTTTTTTTTTTTAATTTCCTTTTTGCTAAACTTTTCGGTTATTTTCACTGTTTCATGTCGTTCTTTTTTTAAATCTAAAATTGACTTTTTCCATAAAAAATTAATGATTAATTTATATAACTATTATCTTTTTATTTTTCAGTTGAGTTTTTTTTTATAATTTTCGATTATAATTTTATTCTTTAGCATTTTCATAATTGTTTGGGATGTCTTTTCTTGTAATTGTATACTTGTATAATTATAACACTATATTCCTCTATAAAAAAAACAAACTTGTGCATTATTTTTATTATATATATGAATTGTGTATAATTTCGTTATAAAAAAAATTGTGTATAATTTCGAAATATTCGGAAGGGGTAAGAGAGGAGCGAAAACGGACAAGAGGGTGAGGGCATTGAATAAGCGCTCCATCTTTTCTGTGGGCACTTCTCCCAACGGCCATTCTCTCTTCGAGTCCCAAGCCCTAAATTCCCATTTCTGCCATTAAAGCACGCATTCAAAAGCTCCGCAGCAGAGAATAGGGGTTTTAACCCTAATAACCCACTTGGGTCGCAGCAATTTCAGGGTACACCACCCAGAAAAAAAAAAAATTTTGCGACCTTATTACGACTAATATATAACTAATATATAACTAAAATAAGAGTAGTTTGTTAGTCGTAATAGGTTGTATATTAGTTATATATTAGTCGTAATAAGGTCGCAAAATTTTTTTTTTTTTTCAGTGGTGTACACTGAAATTGCTGCGACCCAAGTGGGTTATTTGAGTAATATTCCCCAGAGAATATCCAGAGGAAGAATGTCGAACAGGACCCCAGTTTTCCCCATGCCTGCATCGCAGCATTTCAGTGATTACGGATTCGATCCTCAGATCGACTATTTCCAGGTTCTTTCTTCGCTTCACTTGGTCTCCGTCGTCTGAGTTTTTTTAGGTTTTATGAAGTTTTCTGGAATGGGTTTTGTTTGATTTCGGAGTAAAGAACAACTAAAAAGCTGCTAATTTCGGATTTCCTATGTTTTTTTTTCCTGGTATGGGAATGGAAATTGAAGGTTCTGGAAGAAGGCAGGAATCACAAAAGAGAAACATCTGCGAGATCCTCCATTGATGCTCTTCACTTCAAACTCCAGAAACCCATTTCGAAAGACGACCCGACCCGATCCGTTCTCCACATGAAGAAGAAGAAGAAGAAACAGTGGAGGTGGAAGAACGCTCTCCTCTTCCTCAAGTGGCGGAGATGGCCATCTACCGCCTCCTCCTCCGTCGGACGCCGCCGCCACCACCACGCCGCCGCTGTATCCATGGCCAGGGAAATGGAGCTCGACCTCGGCGACGTTCACCGGGCGAGGGCGTTTCGGGCCTCCGGTTCCTTGTCGGGTCCGGTTTACGCGGCGGAGATCTGGTCCGGTTCGAGTACGCCGTACCGGTCGACGGAGAGGAGGCCATCGTCGGGGCCCCTGGCCGGAATCCTGACGCCGGCGAGGATCCCCTATCAGAGTCTACGGGAGCTTAATATGGGAGAGCAACACAGGATCTCTACCTCCTCCGCCAAGCCCATTTACTTGGTCACATAAAAAGTTCAAATATTAAATCATTATTATTAAATTATCAATTAGGAAAGCTACATAAATTCATGGCTTTTATATATACACTCCTCTTTTTCGGGGGCATATTCATTCATGATTATTCAGCCAAAAAGCTTATGTTCTCTACATCTCTTGCTTGCATTGTCTTTGGAATTTATTTAAAAAAAACAAAAACAAAAGATAATCATTGAATAAATCAGTCAAATATCCGTATCCCTATTTATTGTTAATTAAATTTTGATATTCATGTAAAGTCTTCGATCGTTGTTCCCACTAAAAAACTTCAATGAAACATCATAGTTCTAAAAAAATGATCATCAAATCAACAACGACCATATCTACCGCAACAAAAAGAGCTTAAACGACTCACGACTCAAGGGAGACACAAGATAATACATAACCACAACATATAAAATCACAAAATAATTTTATTGTTTCTGAAAATCGCTACTTCTCCACCGGATTTTTTTTGCCGGCGACGTTATTGAGACACCGGAGACCAAAGATCCAAACTTTCCGGTGACCAGCGCAGTAAAGGAAGAAATGACGGCATGGGTTTTGATCCAAAAGACCTCACAAGCGAGATTTGGATTGTTCCACAGGAGCGCTCTGTGACAAAACATGAAGAACAGATGGGATTTCAATAAGATGATGATGAATCCGAACACTAACTAAGCATACTAAGAAGAGCAATGTTCCATCTAATCTCGAGACAAAAGTTGACAGAAAGTAAGCGTCTTTCTATCCAGGAAATCTGCATGACGAAAGCCATGATCTTGAGGCCGCATGAAAGAAAGAAAGAAGAGAATGAGACTGACCAATGGAGCTCCTTTAGAAGCCCTTTCAGCAAGGAAAGAACAAGGCTTGAAGAAATCACCATAAGCCTTGTACCACTCGTTTAGCCTCGAGTAGACGTATTTGGATCCGAGGGAATCAGCCCAGAACATGATTCCTCCTCTGTTTCACAACGTTAGCCAAACCCACAAATTGAGCAAAAAATGGTTTTGACATGGGTTTTGTGAAAATCGAAGTTCGGTGCTGACCTGAAAGGGGGAACACCCATGCCCATCACAGAGGCAATGTCAAGATCGGCTGCTTTCACTGCAATACCTTCCGCAAAGACTCTACATGCCTCATTCACCACGGGGAAGAATATCATTTCAATGATATCCCTGTCTGACATCTTCTCAAACTGCAAAACCAAATAAATTGGAAGCTATAAATGAGAGAGGGACAATGGTGGCTTTATCATTCTTCTCATCTTAAGGACTGGGAGAAAGAGGAGCCGACCTTAGGGTCGATCTTTACTCCGGACATGCTCCTTGCCTTCTCAATGTATTTCTTTATTTCGGGATCGGGTTTAGCCTTGCGCTTATCATCATACAGATAGAACCCTTCACGTGTTGCTTCACCTGAAATCCATAGGAGGTACATAAGGTTTAGAAGAATGTGACATCAATGAGACTAAGCCAGTGCAGCTTCTGACATACCAGCTCTCTTGTCCTCTTGCATGAGAGGTATGACCATTGATTTGTATGTTCTTTCGGGGAAGTTCTCGATGAATTGTGTGGCAGTTGCAACAGCTACTCCGAATCCAACGAGGTCAGCCAGTCTGGCCAGTCGTATAAAACATCAAGCATTTAGAGTACAGACAATCAATTCAAGGTGCATGAGAAGAGCTGCTTTTTCTTCTAAAATGTCGATATACCTGAAGGGTCCCATTGGCATTCCACTCTTGGTGATTGTTTTGTCAATTACATATGGATCTGCTCCATGCTCGACAAGAAACATAGCTGCTTGTGTGTAAGGGAAGAACATCCTGTTCACTGCAAAACCCGTGCAGTTTCCAACCACAACCGGCGTCTTCTTTATCTTCTTAGCCACATCTAGAAGATCGACAATTACTTGGGCCGAGGTATGATTGGTTCGGACAATTTCAAGTAGCGGCATGACATGTGCTGGACTGTACAGTAAAAAAGAAAAAAAAACATGATTTGTCTCAAGAGATGGAGCAAATTTTGGGTAAACTCACATCATAAAAACCTGGCCAAGAGGATGTATTATCACCTGAAAAAGTGTGCTCCGATCATTCTATCCGGAGACTTGGTCTTCTCCCCGATTTTGTTCAAGTCAATAGTTGACGTATTACTCGCAAGAATACAATGTGGAGGGCAATACTTCTCTAGATCAGCAAAGATCTGTTGTTTCAGTGATAAGTTCTCAATAACAGCCTGCTCAAGCAACAAAAAGAGCAAGGGTGCAAAATTATTTCTTTAGTTTCTAGATAACAGGATGAAGCGATAATTCCTGCTTGGTTATGTTCTTTATTACCTCTATCACCATGTCGACATCCCTGAAGCTTTCGTAATCAAGAACACCCTTCAGGAGGGACATGGTTTTTTCAAACTTTTCCTGAGACATTTTCCCTTTCTTGACACGACTCTGCAGATTTGCTGATCAAACACCGAAACTATTCAGCTCACTGTTCTTGCACTTGGCCGGTAACTAAAGTACATTAAAGAAAACAACCCTACCTCTGACTCTGCCTATTCCAACCTCCAAGAACTTCTCGTTTACCTCCTTAAGAATCACTTGATAGTTACTGAGGATAAACACAGTGGCTATTCCAGATCCCATTAATCCTCCTCCAATTATCGCAACCTTATTGATCCGCCTTGGCACCAATCCCCGGTCAGTAACTCCAGGAACCTGTCCATAAGTAAGATTGAAAAGGGTAACGTCGAGGGAAAGATATTAATACATGACATGAGTTTCTTGTAAAATAATCTGATATTCAACTGTACTCGATTCCAAATCTGATATACACGACAGGAAGAAGAACGCTCACAAACCTTTGAAGTTCCTCGTTGAGAAAAGAATATATGAATTAAGCTTTTGGTGGTATCCAAGTTTACAACCTTTTGGGAGACTTCTGCCTCCTGGAAGTAAAAATCATGGAGTTTCATGTTAAACTTTCCAAGAAGAGAAAGGTGAGAGAGAAAAATCAACAAGCAAACACGACAGCCAAAAAATATACCTTCTCTAGACCAGCCCTTGGACCAGAGACAATACCCGTTTCAACAGCATCGAGGCACATTGAAGGATGTCTTAGATTGGGGGCTTGCTTCCGTGCCTGTCCCCTGACAAACCTCAATATCTCCCTTGCTTCTCCAAGAGGAGGTAATTTATCGGTCTTGTAAATACTAGAAACCCATGGTTTTCTCCTCTCCACTATGTCGAGTGCCCAGTGGCGAGCAGTGTTTAGTAACTCGGCGCGTGAAACCACAGCATCAACAAGCCCCAATGAATGGCCTTCTTCGGATTTAACTGGCTTAGATGTCTTTTTGTGTTGACATACAAAATGTGGTTACATCATAATACTAAGACAGAACCAAGCTAACATAGGAATCAGCTCTTTACATACCAAAATCATTTCAAGGGCTTTTGTGAGGCCAACAAGACGTGGGAGACGCTGTGTCCCTGCAGAAGTATAGAAGAATGTAATTAGGACAGCCAGCCGCTTGATTCGTTTCACAATGCCTCTAAACAGAATTCACAGATCATTTCCCCTCTCCTGATAGCCCATTATGCATCTAGATACTTCGATTCCGAATACTATCCAAGGACAACGATATAGACAAAGTTAAAAAGTCAATACCTCCAAAGCCAGGAATGACACCAAGCTGCAGTTCAGGCAAGCCCAATTGTGCGGCAGGAGCCGATATCCTTGCATGGCAAGCCTGGAAAAAAAAATCATTTTACTATCTTATTACTATCATCCCCCTAAATAGCTCATTGAGCTCCTTCCAAGCAAAAAAAAAGACTAAAAACTCAAACTATATAGCGACATATACCATTGCAAGTTCTAACCCTCCTCCTAAGGCAAGCCCTTCGATGGCAGCAACCGATGGTTTCCTTGCAGCTGAAATGCAAAGAGATTCCATCAGTCCCTCAGCAAACACAACAACACTTCAGCAAAAGCATTATACAAGATCGCTTATGACGGCACACAGGACAAATACCTTCGATCAAGTCAGTTATGATGTCGATTGATATGTATCCGGCCTTCGGCTCTTGCCCTGGCAAAAGCAAAATCACCGGTTACAAAAACATTTTAACGAGAATACGTAACTCCGATACAAGTAACACGGATATAAGGAGACATACTGTTCCCCTTTTGAATTTCACCGAAACCCGATATATCAAATCCACCGGAAAACTTCCCATTTGCACCTGTCGTAAGAAACACAAAGCCATTACAGTAACCTGTCTAAACACCATGTAGAAAGAAAGAGACATGTCCTCGAACATACCCGTAACTACAATAGCTTTCACATCATTCCTCCTCAAGGCTTCCTCGTAATTACTCTTCAAGCTGTATAGAACTGGACAGAGACAGACCAAAACAACACACAAGTTTTCCGCTCTGTTAGAAATGTACAGTCTCGCACATTCGAATCTATACACAGAGGAACACATATTTTCCACGAGAAACCATAACGTACATCAAGTATATGTATAGAGATTTCAGCAGATTTTACTATCAGGAAACCAAAGGAAGGACGTCAAATTACCAGTCCCAACTCTCACATTAGTTAGACCAAAACATTCCGTCGCGTTCATCGGTCATAAATAAAAACTCTTAAGGAGAAACCGGAAATCAAACACATGCAAAGAGACCCAGATAAGCAAACGGAAAAAAAATCAGACACCCAAGTGATCACATCACCGAATTATCCAGATGAACGCCATTCACGCACAAGAAAATGGGGGAAACAGGATGAATTATACCATCGAAGGATAGAGAATTGACGGGAGGGTTGATGAGGTTGATCACGGCAACGCCATCGGCACCAACCTCCATCACCGTCTTTCCCTTAGTTCTCGAATCCATCGACTTGTTAGCTTCGTTTTCTCTCTTGGGGTGAAATAAAAAGCACGAGGATTTGGACGAAGAAGGAAGGCAAGCTTCTTCCCTGGTAATGGTATATAACCGCTTTGACTGTAAGTATTAGCCGCTGACGTGTCGCGCGCCGTTAGTGGGCCATGCAAAAATGAGGAAGGCCCAAAAAATGGAAATTATATCAAGTCCCATAACCTTCCAATAAAATTCGGTGTATTATTTATTTATTTACCGGATATATTAAGTAGTCAGTCAAAAGAGGAATTCGTATGGAAATTATCATTTTCCACGTGAATATACTTATTTATTCCCTTATTGATTTAAATTGTTTCCCTAATTTTCATGTATGTGGTGAGAACTCGCAATTAAGGTTAGGCACATTAAATACGTGACGCCACAGAATATCCGGTTGAACACATTAAATGTATGCATTATTTATAAATTTGAACAATACTAATCCGAAGCATTTGTTATCTAATTATGGGATATTAGATAAAAAAAATGATAAATGGTAATCTCTCAAATTAAAATCAAAGTTTTTTTTTATTTTCAAGAAAAAAAACTGAGATTACGACGCTACAAATCAAGAGAAAACTTGTATTTTTAAATAGTGAGAAAAATTGAAATTAAATGTTGAAATTCGTGATGAATCATACTAAATTTAATTAAGAATTTTTATTTGGAACTAGTTATAAATTTAAATTAAATAAAAATATAAATCAAAGATTAAATGATGCATAATTAATATTCACCATATTTGTGGATACATGGCATTAATTATTTTTTTTTTAGCTTTAATTGTTCGTTCAAAATAGCAACACGTTATGGGCTTGTTTTCTCGCGTTTCCCTAGGCTCTAAGCCCAGCGAAAACGTCATGGGCCCATAATCTATCATTCGCCTACATACGCTTACATCTAACAGTACATATTTATCCAATCATAACGGTATGTTTTAAGAACCTGTAAACGTGTCATCATCTGAATGGAGAATATTCACCTAAGTCCAAATACCGAGTTGTACCATAATTTTATCTCACGGCCCCAGGTGGCACACTCCACTATGCAACCGCTCTGAATAATCCCATAGATAAGGACATGATATTTGTTTGCTTTATTTTCCATTTATTCGATAAGATAAGAGGATATTAATATTATATATATATATATATATTATTTATATTTCGTCACGTATTAAATTCTCTCACTATAATAAAATCATATATATGTAAAAAAAGGATTTAGATATCGGAGTAGAAAAGAGTAAAAAAGAATTAACGTTTCACGATTAACATTTTTATTGGATACCTAATCTTATCGTAGTTATAATAATGGGGATTGTCGAACAATACGATGTCGTATCTTTTTATGTTATTGTTCACTTGTTTCGGGTTGTCATAGGCCCACGGCCCAATTATATAAGGGCCCAAACAATTTCTCGCGCGCAAAAAAACACTAAATAATTCTTGGAAGAACCAACAGTTTACACTTTACAGACGAGAATCCCGCCGCAAAGAGCAACGGCCACCGCCATGACCGTTGCCTCCGCCGCCGCCGCTTCCATAGCCGGAGAAACGACAACGGAAAACGTTTTCTCACCGACAACGATGTCAGTTCCACTGTTTCCGGATCTTTAGGCAAATCTCAGTGGGCTTTTCTTCCACGATTTCAGCGTATCGATTTCTTCTGGCTCACGGTATCGTCTTTGATTTAGGGTTTCAGATAATGACTTCGTCTCTCAGACGTTTGTGAAGAAGTTTTCATTTTTTTTTTCCTTTTGAAATTGGATTTGAAAAAAAAAACGAAAGACGTACGTGGTGTCTGTCATGCAATAAAAATGCCAGTATCTATAACAAAAATAAATAAATAAATAAATAAAAATGCCAGTGTAGCTCAATAGCCTGCAGAAGAGATGCATACATACATCCTGCGTTTGGGGTTGCCCATTAATTCTAAGAGTATGGTCAGTCCAACTAAAGAAAGAGGTTCTTTAATCGTTGCATTGAATAAATTGTCCAATAAATTAATGATTAATAAAAATAAAGTTACTTAGAAAGTGAGATACAGGTAAGGACCTAACTGTCCTTTTTCAGTGGATATCTTATGAAGTTCTTATCATATGATTTAACCAAAAAAAAAAAGTTCTTATCATATGAAAAATATTACAATATATATATATATATATATATATATTCAATAGGAAAAAAACAATATAACATGAAGGAATTAATTATGAAACTGTTGTTTTGAATATTTATATATACGAGGTTGTGGTTAGAGAATTCTCACATTCAACTAATTAATTTTACTTCCGTCCTACGATAAGATATTTACTGCGCAAACAGATTTATAAATTTTTTTATCATAAAATACATTTTGGATGGCATCTGAATTTTTGCGATTGTGAAGTTTTTCAACTAGATAGAAAAAAATATATTTTATTAGATAAGATCATTCCACCATATTATAGATATGATGTTTCCTATGTTGAAAAAAAAAAGATAATGTGAATCATGTGATTACGTAAAAATCCTATAAAGTATGATAATGTCGGTCCACATGGACGCACATAACGCTAGATATTCCGAGCTCAATTCGCATGAAACGGAGAGAATATTTTAAATTATATAATAAATAAATAAGCACACTATTTTTCATGTATGCCCTTTTACTTGTCGCATTGTATGATAAAAGTGCACACTCCGTTTTTGCTTGTCCCATGAAAGCGATAACTCTCATGATTCATTTGCCTCTCGAATAGTTCGTAAGTTCCACAACTCACATATTAAATAGTTATATATATATATATATGTGTGTGTGTGTGTGTGTCACAATTTGGATTAACATATTAAATAATCATTTGAAATATTTGTACTGCTAATAAAAAAATACCAATATAGTGAATATTTAATTGTAATGTTAAAAAAAACTTTTCATTGATTATCCGTCCAAAAGCAAAACCTCCGTCGGAATATATAATTAAATATTTCGGGAACGTACTATTCATAAACCTAGGGGATCCGATAGATATGCCAGCTTCGAAATGTCCAAAACACCCTTTTGGCTTTACATGTTAAAAGCAAAACGACAAAAAATAAGCCCAAGGGTAAGAAGGTCAAATCAGATTTAAAGTGAGAAAAAATTAGTTCGCGATGCTGTCCTTCTCAGTACGCGAAACCGCCTGCTCGGTTTCTTGGTCAACGCCGGCGCCGGGAATAACCGCCGGACGCCGGAAAATAACTGGAAGACGACGACGAATCAGACGGCGTCGTTTTGATGGCGATCAGGGGACAGTTCTTTCCTCTTAAACTCTCCTCGTCGTCCATTAAAATCTGCCTCGACCTGCACTCCTCGGTGCAAAACGTACCTCCTCTGCCGAATCACAGAGAACAAATTCCGAAACAACACAAACCCATCATCAGAAACCAGTAAACAAAATCTGGGTTCAGCATAAAAATCGTGACTCGTAAAGATCTGGAGATCTAAAGTCATGGAAAAGCAGAGTATCTCCGGTGGTCTGTTTCTGTATATGCTTACTTATACATGTAGATATCTTTCCCGGAGAGAAGTTTCTTTTTGCAGAGAGAGCAGTATTCGAGAAACCCAGGATCTTGATCTTGGTTTGAACTCCCATGGCGGAACCCTTCGACGGAAGAGGAGGAGGCCGCAGGGATAATGACGGCGGTTTTATTGAGGACTTGCGGTGGTTTAGGGCTGATGACTCCGCCGGAATCTCTCGTCAGACTCTTGTTCGTCTCCAAAACAACGCTTAGGCCAACCATTTTCTTATCTCGTTATCTTTCAGCACTCCTCTATTTGTTTTTCCCTGGTTATGCTTTCTCGGATTCTGGCGTTAATGGAAAAAAAAGAAGAATGAGAGAAGCATTTGCTTCGTGAGAAGAGAAATAAATAATTATAAAAAAACAGGGGAGGTGTGGGGCCCATTAGAGTACAAGGCGAGGACGATTGATTTGATTTCTTTTGCTCAATATCTGCCACGTGTAGCACTCTTTAATCCCTTTTTCCCTTTGCTTTTTTTTCGTAAATTATTCAATTTGTAATTTTATTTGTTGTTGCATGTGATCTTGTTTTATGTAAAAATACAATTATAATTTCGCATATGCATATATCCCATGAATTCTCAAAACATAAACGTAAAAACAGATACATTATGCAATATATCTTTATAATTATCAGTTGATAATATATAATTAAGCTAGTCAGAAAATGCAACCAAGGAAACTTGGCAACGGGAGGAGAATCGTTAGTTTTATAAGAAATTGAAATTATGTATCGGAGGAATATGAATTTGACCCTTTTACCCACACATACGATTTTGGTGTATTAATTCGAATATTTAGCTACATTCATTACAAGGCGTGCAACATTTTGGTGCGTGGGTAGGGTGGATTCAATTCCCACTCGCGGTTACATATTTTATCTCCATTAAACAAAATTATATCTTTATTCACATATATACATATATCATAATTAGTAATTACATTATACTGGTGACGGGTCTTACCTCTTAACTTAGAATGAATTATAAAAAGATGGTCCGGACGTTCGTATGTATATATAGAGTTAAGTTACCCATATGTTTGTGCATGAGGAGTTTTATCAAAAACAAATAAATATAATTTACTTTAACAAAAAACAAATAAATATAATATAGAATTATGTGTGCTGATATATGATGTATGTAGGGAATTTTAGAAATTGCTATAATGGATAAACTTTTTAAAATATTTGTTGGTTGAAAGGTTAATCGAGAGAGGAGAATCTTGCATTTTTTATTCATTATCTTGTAATATTTGTTTTTGGATAATTATCATGTTATAGGTTATGGATAAGGGGGAAAAACAATAATTTGTATACTAATTGTCTATTTGTTTCTTTTTAGAGGGAATTGAGAATATCTGATTTACTTTAGTAAGTAATATTAATTTATTATCTTATTTATTGTTTGTTATTAAAATTTGATTTTACTTTCTTTTAAATATAATATAAATATGTTCTAATTTACTTTAAAAAAATAGGTTTCTGTAATTGTCGTGACGAATAAATAATTATCATTATAACATGATAAGTATATTACGGAAAACATAATTGTTTTAGCAATTTTTTACACTTAACAGTTTAGCAATCTTAATTATATCCTAATTATTATTTGCCTATTGAAAAGAATCTCACCATATCCTCGATTACCTACACGTTTTGTTAAAAAAAAATAAATAAGCAATTTGAACCCTCAAAAATACTAAATTTATCTTTTGACCGTTTAAAAAGTCAGAAAATAAAAAAGGGACTGAATTGCCTGATGTACGGAAAAAATCTTGAGGGAGTTTTAAAGTTTTTACCAAAACGAGAACCATATGTCCTTGTTTTATAGCGAGTACAAACCGTAGCTTACTCGAGCGCTTGATAACCAAGCAAACAAATAAAGAACTAAAGAAGCACCAGACGACGAGTAAATAGTATTTTAACCATACAGATATCAACACGTGTCGTCATAGTACGGGTCGCTCTACCAATTTTTTTTTACTTGATATATAAGATATTTTTTTTTTGTGTTAAGCTAGATAATAAATAAGCTAATTTACTGGTTGGTAATTAGGAGTGGGCAAAATATTCAAAAAATCTGAACCGATCCGTTATTCGATTCGTATCCGAACCAAAAATTCGGATATCCGGAGTTTACGGATCGGATACGGATATTTATTTAGATATTTGTCGGATACGGATCGGATACGGATATTAAAATTGAATTATCCGACATATCCGATCTGATTCGTATTCTGTAATAATATTATTAAATATAAGAATAATTTCATATGGAGATTTAAAATGCTTAATATTTACACGTTTTTTAGGGTGATTCAAGAAAATTTTTATATATATTGAGGTTTATAATTTTAATCTTTTGAATATTAAGATTTATTATGTTTAATGTTTCTAATTTTAAATTTTGAATATATTTGTATGTGATAAATTATAATTGTATTTGTATTTGAGTTGATTTGGAATGTTTAAATCATGAATTTTAAATTTGTGAATATCATTTATCTTAAATAGATTATATATTTTATTTACATTTGAATTTGTTATTTAATTTAAATTTAAAATTTTATAATATTTTAGGTCGTATACGGATATCCGCAAATATCCGTGATTTTTACGAATATCCGAAATTGCGAATATCCGAAAATTACGGATCAGATACGGATAACAAAATCGAATATTTGTGCGGATCGGATACGGATACGGATATCTCAAAAATTCCGGATATCCAATCCGTACCCACTCCTATTGGTAACAAATCCCGCCATTTCTTTCTTTTTTTTGTTCAAGTTAACTTAAATTAATTTTTGTTGTTTGGTTGGCGATTTTATCAAATATTCGTACTGATTAACTCTTAATGTAGAGTGCAAAAGAACTAATTTAATTTACGTATTTATAACTTACACTTTTTACTATACTTACGGCATTGTTAGACCGATTTCGTGCCACTGGTTGGCTAATTGGGGTTAAAAATCAAATAGACAAAGTTCTGGGGCTGTTTTAGAAAGAATACTAAATACGGTAGTAAAAGTTAAACCCGCTAAACGACAAAAATAGAAAGGTAAAGAAAATAAAATAAAAAAGACAAATGTGCCCTCTTAGAGAAAGTGACTTCTGCGTACGGGTAGCTAGTTTCCAAAGAGTAAAACAATTCTTGTCGTTTGACCCTCAGACACGTTTGAAATCATTGTACTATAAACGTCGTGCAGTTCTGTGTTCTAATCAAGGAACGGCACGTTGTGTATCGATTCGGTTTGAAAGACCGAGTCGCTAGGGTCTCAAATAATTTTGTGAAAATTGAATTTTCAATCTGTCTCTGATAATGTTATTTTGTGATATTCTTTAGATGAATAACATATTTTATTGACCCGGTTTTGATTCCAAATGACAAAAGGTTGTATGACTGTTAGCTTAACCGATAAATTGTCAACCATAACCGAATTAAATCTACGGTTTGCTAGGTTTTGGTTACCGGTTTGGTGAAGGCAGCGTGGCACTAAATGGGCTGTCTTCCCCCCCCTTAAGGCCCATAAAAGTAAAGCCCAACAGCCCAATGGGTTTGAACAAAATTCACGTTTCATTTCAATCACATGACATGCAACATTATCTTCATACACCTGCGATATGAATTTCTAAATTACAAGTTTACTTTCTAGTTTATAAATAACTACGAAACAGTAACGAATCAAAATATCTAAATTATAATAATACTTCAAAAGACGGAAATAAATAGAAACACTTTATAAACTTTATATATATATGTATATACCGCAAGGTTATTACAAAGTAACAAAATTCATCTTTTAGAACGTTCACGGTAACATTAAACTTAAGACATTGAAATAGTTATATATTACGCACGAAAACAGAATCTTTTCGCCTTATTTTGTTTCCTATAATCCATGATTATATATATATGAGGGTATAGTGAAAATATTTTAGGTCCATTTTATAAAAAAAAAAATATTTTAGGTCCATGTCTAGTCATTTTCCATGTGAACATGTGCCGTGTTTTTAACAAATAGGACACATACTTCCTTAAACTTTGCGTCGATGCCTAGCTTCGGATAGTAAAGATGCCTCTATGATCCAAGGACAAATTATAATGCCTCTTGTGGATATACATATCACACGCGCATATATATATATATATACATACACTTGTGTGTGTGTGTGTGTGTGTGTGAGGAGACAAACATGCACGTGTATGCACGAGGTTGGGTAAGGATTAGATTGAAGATAGAAGACAATAGTTTTTAAGTCGAAACAGTTGATGAAAGGAACGATCTATAATTATGTAAGGAGGGTTGCATTTGTGTTTAGAGATGTGTATCTTTGACATATATGAGGGTATATACACACACACACACACACCTATAATTCTCTAATTTCCTCTCTCCAACATGTGAAAGTTTCTCATTCAACTAGAGGCTTTTTTCCTATTTCTCTTTCCTCTTTCGGAGGGGTGGGGTTTTGTGATTAATTTAGGTACAAGTAAAGGTCGGTAGTGAAAAAAGAAAAAGGTTAATTATGAAGAGCATGATTATTTTTGTCGATGATTAGACTAACAATCATTATATATGACTCTAATCACACAAATGAGGGGGAAAAAAAGGAAATTGTATGTAATATAATTTTGTCACATATATATATTCTTTGGGGGGATAGCATTCACATAAGAGAGATATATAATGACATATTAACTAATATAATATTACTAACATTATAAGCGAGATTAGGACCCAGCTGAAGTCGCTCCATCACCTAATTTCTTTTATGGCTTTTGCTTTTTTTTTAAAAAAAAAAATCAACCAAATTAATCTCTTAGGGAATTTCCCTCGTTTCCACAAAGTTTTTCTTCGACTCTATTCGGACCCAATTTATCCCCCCAAAAAAAGGCGAATCATATTATATATTTTTATTATAATTTCTGTTCAAAAGTGAAATCGATTAGGCTTTTTTTTTAACGAGGCTATAGTGGGCCTAGTGTCAAAAAGTAATAAGTGAATATTGAAATTGAACCGTCAATAACATCTTTTACCCCCTTTTTTCGTCTTTATTGGATACTGCCATTGAAATTTTGGTCCGTGGGGAGGGGGCAACGACTAAGCATTCCCTATTTACTATTGATTTTTCCTCTTCGAATATTATAAACATTTACAAAACTAAAGATTATATCAAATACGATATATATACTAGATTGAGTAATCAAGTTTATAATCTGAAACAGAAACTGAAATAATTATGAAATCTATCACGATAGCAAACGACTTGGTAATTATCAAAAAAAAAAAAAATCGTT